TCATCCAAATAGCATCGTATATATAACAGCAAACACAATAATCACATAAATATATTATACAAAGAAAAAGTTATTGTAACAAACGCTAAGAACAAAAGTCGATCGAACAAAGAATTTCTTTAAAAAAAGAGTGTCGTGACTAAACCCTAAAACTCATACATATATAAAAAAAATAGTAGAGGTAACACCTAGGGTTTTACATAACATACACGGCCTCTATAGAAAACGGGCCCAAACCCAATAATTTTCATCAAACAATTAATAGTGTTTTAGTCCAAAAATCTAGATAGCATGACATGTAATTTAAGCTTTTTTAGATGGTATCCTTCTAATCAACCACTTTAAAATTCATGAGAGACTGCCACGTAGGATAACTTACTTCGCATATAATAGAATAGATTAATCCAAACATAAATAATATAAAGAAAAAATAATTTTGAAAAAGTGGCATTTTTGTCAAAATTTCAAAAGTGTGGTATTTTTGTAAAGTAACATTTGAAAAATGGTATTTTTTGAAATTTCTCTGAAGAAATCTAACAATTATTTATTTATTTTGATTTTTCTATTTTTCTGGTACTATTTGATTTTCAACTAAAAATTATATCACATCTTTTCGAATAGCTAATTTTTTCTATTTCTATTCGAGTTAATAATTTTTTTTAATTATGTAACCATTCAAAGTTTCAAACATTTATTTATTTTAAAAAATCCTCATGAATTGATTCCTATATTTCAAATTGAATTAAAAGTACTCATGTTTTAATCATATTTTATTGTTTTTTTAATGAAAAACTATTTTTCTTTCAAAAATGAATTATACGTATTTCTTCACTAAAAAACATTAAACTATGACTGAAATAGGTATAACTTTCTCTGACCTGACATATGACTATTTTCTACAAATTGTAAGAACATATCAAAGGACCAAATGATCATTTGATATTTATACTTGATCACTAAAACCTCATTGATATTATCAACCTTAAGTTCAGTAATTCAAATATATTTATCAATCAGAAATTTACATCTTACAAGAAGTCCTACCTTTACGTTCGACACAAAAATATAAAGTTTGAGGCGAAGGATGGGGAGATGATCAAGCATCTACCAAATCTACAATTTCCTTACAGAACAAAACAAAGAGGTGTGGAAAAGTGCGGTATTACATTGCAAAACACAATATCTACGCATCAATCAAAAAAAAAAGAAAAGACAACAAAAACTTTAAAGACTTTCGGCTGCAGAGTAAGCGACTTAATCTATGTTTAGAAAGAGTGGAATGGAGATGAAGAAGACTGTAAAGAGTATAAAACTCAACGTATTCAGTACAGCTATCAAAAGGCTTGTAGCATAGCAATATTTAAGTCTGAAACCCATTTGTTTCACATGTTCAACTTTACAGAGGCAAATGTACAAACATAAGCAAAGAGGGAGAAAGAAAGTGTTGAGAATTGAGTCCATGATTAAATATTGTAATATCATATGTTATTGTTTGTATGTAAAGTCAACAGATGTTATGTGTTACTTGGGACTTACTACGAAAGGGTGTGTCTAAGAGACATAACTTGTTGGACAAGATACAACTGTTAGCAACGGTTACGTTATATAATGCTAACAGTTACGTTATATAAATATCTATATAAGTGTACATATTGTAGTCATGTAAAATAGTCGAGAAATAAAGAGAAGTTTTTCTGATTTTTGCATTCTCTTATTCTCTTCCAAC